GGCCAGCAGCTGCGGTGGCACGGAGCGTGGCATTGGTGTTCTCGTGGACTTGTGTGGCTGGAGGCCCTAATCTTTCCCATACTAAAAGAAGCAAGCCACCTAGCCGAACCACTTAGCACACCGTTACCGAGTCCGGGCTTTAGGTAGCTTCCTACGCTGGACGATCTCTGGCCGGCGGAGTTGAATGTACCAGGTCCTATACTGCCACGGTGAAGACGGGAAGGTAGGTAGAGGCCTAATGCTGTATTTCCAGACTAATGCTGGAACCTTCTACTGAATTCCGGGGCATAAGCGATTTTACTTCCTTTATTAAATGGGATATTTACTCTGTCCAAACCACAATCCAACCATCTTTTTAAAAAAATTATATATATAAATATATATATATATATCTATATATATGTATATTTAAAGCTCACTTCTTTGCCATCACCATAAAATAGCATTTATTAGAGAAAGTGCACATCAAATAGACATAATCACTGTTTACATACTGCAATCTAGAGCTGAGACCAACGCACCAAAAACAGAGTTGAAATAATAAAGAATAGAAGTGCATACAACAAACATACTTCTGCGGTATCCAAAGGAACTAGAGATTACAGCATAGTCATAGGCTTATACAAATAAATATTTCTCATATCAACTTTTTCCCTAGATTAATCATGCGGAGAAAGATCTCAATTTTAAAGGCAAAGCACCTATTGTCAGATGGGCCTTGGAAAGATGGGTAATGGTCTCTTTATATCAGATTAATAGGTCTGGAAATATAGATGAAATATAGATTAAAACAGATGAATATGATGATTTCTAATAAACATCATTCACTTTTAAACTGATAGTCAAGGGGATGGGGATTTAGCTCTGTGGTTCAACCCCTGCCTCGAAAGCGCAAGCCCAAGGACCGGAGTTTGATCCCTAGTACCAAAAACAAACACTGATAGTCACCGCAAACATACTTTCCTAGTGAGATCCCATAGGGATAATAAATTTAATGAACATTCAAGATTTATTTTATTTTTTTTTGATAGCGGGGATTGAACTCGGGTCCTTGCGCTTGCAAGGCAGGCCACTGAACCGCTGAGCTAAATCCCTGGCCAACATTCAAGATTTTTTATTCAGATAAACTATAACTTGCTGTTTCTCCCCTTGAACAATATGTAGTAAATTGCTGATTATTTTAAGAAAAACCTGCAGTTTCAGATTGTATAATAACTTAATTCTGCAGTCACCTAAAGATTGCATCTAATTATATAGGGTTTCAGAAGCAAAGACTAAAAGATGGTATTTACAGGATGTCATTTGGTTTTAGTTTTAATTCCCTGAATTATCACATTAGTCATTTTCAGTGTTACACAGGGAAATGTGAATACTAACATTTGTAGCAAGAAAACAACTATCTTGAGCTCAACTAAGAAAAACAGAATTTCACAACTTTTTACTAGGTAATCTCAGCACTCTGGAGGCTGAGACAGGAATATTACCACAAGTATGAGGCCACCTTAGGCCACATACTGAATTCATGGCCAGCCTGGACTACAGTGAAACCCTGTCTCAAAAAACAAAAAATTTGGGCTGCGTATTTAGCTCTGTAGTTCTGTGCCTGCCTTACAAGCACAAGGTCCTGAGTTCAGTCCCCACTACAAACACACACGCACACGCACACGCACACACACACACACACACACACACAAAATCTATTATGAAATGTGAGCTGTTGGCATCTGAATTCCACTGGGAAAATGCTGTTTTAACAGTATCTGATATTCCAGCCATCACTAAAGAGAACCGTATAATACACATTTTCATTACTGCATGAACAAAAACCAAGAAATTTAAAAAGTTTTTTCAGTACAGTGTGTCCTTCTGCATTGTCAACAGCTATTCTGCAAAATGTAGTACACCAGCCATTCATAGAAGTAAACTTTTGCAGTTACTTTTTCATCTCTGTATTAACTTCTATCCAGTATATGTGTTAATAGCACCTAACATGATAGGCTCGTAATATCTCTGGAATTAAAAATATTATGGAATCTACATTCATCAGTTACCGAAACATAGAAGGATGAAAAGGCCAACATCAAAACGCCTATCACTAGTAGACACACCTTTTCCTTCAACTCCCTGTGGCAAAGCAAGATGAAGTTAAAGTTTTTAGGTATAAGCACACAGTAAAGCAACAACTAAAAATATATCTAGGTGACAGTCACTGACAAAGGTTTTTTTTTCTGTATACCAATCAACTTTATACCAAAATGTCGCATAATTATTCCCATGTATACATGTTTCTGTAAAGGTGCTATTTTTAAAAGCTCTTATGGGAGTTTGGGTAATCTTTCAAAATCTGGAGAATTAAGAAAACTGGGGCTGAGGATTTAGCTCAGTGGTTCCACCTGCCTCGCAAGCACAAGGTCCCAAGTTTGATCTCCAATACAGAAAAAGAAAGAAAGAAAAGGAAAACTGCAAAAAAGGGTGAATTATAAAGCAATCCTTACCTGGTAAGGACATTTTTTTTTCTTTCTTTTTTGGAGACAGGGTTTCACTATGTATTTCAGGCTGGCTATAAATTCACTACTTATGGTGATCCTCCTACCTCAGCCTCCCTAGAGCTAGGATTATAGGGCATAGTGGTACCCTTACCTGCTTGGTAAGGTGCATTTTCATACTAAGATGCACAGTAAGATTTGTGGCATGAATTTTCACTTTCCCCTATACTTTCTTAGATGCAAAGAAAAAGAAAGCAATTGCCATCTTTTATATCAGCCTCATTCTGTCCAAGGACCTAACATATTACTCAGAAACTCTATCAGGGACTTCTATCTCAATTTCATTCTCCACCTTGCAGTTCTTCAGTCCTCTTAAATGTGCTGATGAGGTACTATGTCAGTTTCTCTCATTGAGGGCAGAAACGAAAGCAGGAAGATTGTACTCTTGTTCATATTTAACAAAGATCTTTATATTCCAAAATCAGCTAAAAAGAAACCTAATTGGAGACCATCTTTCTATATAATTCAAAGCATCTCAGACAGAGAGATAAGAAAGCCTGTTTTAAATTTAAGACCCTGAATCCCTGGCAGACTGGTCTCCTGTATCCAGAGTAGAGATAGAAATAAAGACTCAAGGGCTGGGGATTTAGCTCAGTGGTGCTGTTGCCTACCGTGTAAGCACTAAGTCCTGAGTTCGATCTCAATTACCAAAAAAAAAAAAAAAAAAAAAAAAAAAAAAAAAAAAAAAAAAAGAAAGAACCAAGTCTGCCCTGACATACTGAGTACATGGTCTTAACTTTGGATCTGCAGATTAGAACCAAAACAAGAATGACAAAAAGGGAAGAGCAGACAAACAGGAACAGGTTGGTAGTTTGGTTTTCTCTCACCAACTGTTGTCTGCACGCCTCTAGAAAGTGTTAAGAAATTAGCCTCAATAACCAGCCTCTTTTTGTATGTTCAGTCCTCAATCTGCTGTTCTGTAGAAGGACCACCTTCCAGGTATTACCTTCTATCCAACTGGTCATTCAGAAACCTTTAGTTTTGCTCATGAGATCTCCCAGCAATAACTGTACTTAGTAAATGATATACCCTTCTAATATCTATTTAAATAGAATGAGACCATTCTTACATCCCAATCAAGAGACCCTAGAAATACTGTTTTCTGATAGTACACCATGTTGCTATAAAGAGAAATTCTGTATTTTTTTACTCTGGTACTTACCTGTAATAGCAGTATCTAAAACTCCGTGTGTGTTTGTGTAATTATTTTGGTTAAGACTCTTTACAATTTTCTATATGTATTTTTCATTGGAAATGTTGTGATTTTTTTTTTTTTTTTAAACTAAAACCATCAGGATGTACTCTGTAGAGCTTGAAATCTCTGATCTGATTGTAGGGATAGAGAGGAGACTCTTCTGTTGCTTTACAAGTGAACATGAAAATCAGGCCTTCGATGAGGTGCAAAGGGAGTGAAGGATTCCTGGATGCAAGTGCATAGGGCAGCCTTCATGGTGACCATCCTCCCCTACTTTAGCCTCCCTGGCTGGCTGCCATGCTAAAACATGGAATAGTCTATTCTGCCTGTTTACAATAGCCCACCCTACACTGTGGAATAGTTATTTTTATTTTCCCTACCTTTTAGTTGGCCCAAATTCACTTTGCAGAGCCCATTTTTCCTACCTTTAATAAATCTGAAACTTTGCCATTGTTAAAAATAAAAAACAAAAAATAGTATGACTGCCACCAAATAATGCAGTGTCACAGAAATTGTAGTCTTTGAAATTAGAAAACACCTAAGTTTAAATGCTAGCTTCACCACAGTGTGGTGTTTTGTGTGCTTGGCAAAGTACTGAATTTATCCTCTGAAGGCTTCAGTTTCCTCATCTGTGAAACAAGGAAAGTCCTTTCTCTGTCACAGATTTAGTCTCAATATTAAATTAGATAATATATCTAAATGTCTAGCGTGCTCCCTAAAACACAGTTTCGACTTTTCCAAACAAGTAATGTGCTTCAGATCTGGAGGCAAATACTCCCCCTGCCTAACCCCCAAGTCAAGTCCAACCTCCAGAAAAGGGTATAGTTAGACAGTTGAAACACCCAGCAGACTTTTGAGTCAGAAATAATCCGGACTTGCTCCTGGCATCAGATCCGAGAATGGGAACTCCATAGATACTAACTGCCATCAAGGTATCAGTTAAGTTCATCCATTTGGGTACTTGGGGGGGGGTCATTTCCAAACTCCTCCCGAAATTTACATGTAAAATAATAATCTCATACAAATACAGTACCATATTCAAATAGTTGTAACAAAAGTATAAAACAAGTATAAAACATTCATTTATATGTACAGAGCTGGCAAAAAATTCTAAAACTTACTTAGAAACCACATAAAAGAAAGCTAGCAATAACCTTCACTTCAATAAAAACTGAATTTAAAATAAAAGTTCTGGGGGCTGAGGATATAGCTCAGTGGTAGAGCATTAGTGCAAAGCCAGCACCACCAAAACAAAAAATGAAAAAGTCCTGCGTGTTTCCCTGGTGTGTTCAAATGGAATTTGATGAGTAACTGAGTTCAAATCCTAGCTTCATTTGTTAGCTATGTGACATTGCTTATGCTTCCTCAACTCTAAACTAGAAATACTGCCTACATCAAGCTGTGGTGAGAATTAAACATTACATGGAATGTGTGTAAAGTGCTCAGCACTATGCTTGGCACATAAACACTATTTTCTATCATACAGATACTGAAAATTCCAAGTATTAATGAGAACTTACTATATTTACAGGGTTTTTTTCCTGTGGGTTCGCTTATGAGTAACAAGATGGATATTTGCTTTAAAACTCTTCCCACAAACAGAACATTTAAAAGGATCCTCTTGCCGGTGGCTCTTCTGGTGGCATGCAAGTTCTGAGTCCAAAGCAAAACGCTGTGCACACATTTCACATTTATAGGGCTTTTCTTCTATGTGAATGTTCTGATGAGAAACAAGCTCGGAAAAACAAGGAAATTTCAAGTCACATTCAGAACATTGTAAGGGCTTGAATCTGGAGAATGAAAAAAAGTTTTCGTCATCAATACTATACTGTTCAGTTTCTTCCTTGTGGCTCTTCTCGGGGAGGGCAGGGTATGAAGACTGTTTGAAGCTCTTTATGCACTGAGTGTGCTGGTATTGTGGTATTGCTGGTGTGTGTGTATTCTCTGATAAAGCCAGATTTGTTTTCTGAGCAAGAGACTTACCATGATCAGCACATTCATATGGTTTTTCAGCAGTGTGGCTTTTCTGATGTTGTGCTAATCCTGGGAGCCACATAAAACCTCTCCCACATATACCACATGTATAGGGTTTCTCCTTTACATGGCTGTTCATGTGCCGGGACAGATGTGACTGCTGACGGAAGGTGGTACCACACTTGGTACACTTATAAGGCTTCTCACCAGTGTGGATTCTCTTGTGGGTCCTCAGGTTGGCACTATGATTGAAGGTCTTCCCACAGTCACCACATTTATACTTTTTCTCTCCTGAATGAATTTTCTGATGCAAAGCAAGATATGAAGTATCACTGAAGCTTTGGTCACATTCAGGACATTTGTACTCCTCTTTGGCTTCTTCCCAGGGAAATTCAAGAATTTCAGAAAGTGATTTGACACCTAAACACTGAGACAGTTCTACTAGTGGGGTATGGTTTTCAATGGTCACTAAAAGACTTACTAATTTTTTCTTGTAAGTGGGAGTTCCACCTGATATTTTCCTTTCAGGAATTCCAATTCCATCCTCAGAGGACCTTTGTGAATGGACTAGGGGTACAGCAGTGGAGTAATTTTCTAAGGAAAACTCTTCAATTTCCAGGGACTCTAGGGTTAACATCTCATTAATCTCAGTGTTGCTTTCCCCTCCTGTTGATAAAAATAAAACAAAGCAAAACAAAACATAGGTAGCATCTTGAAGTAATACTAAAGAAAGAACAAGCTAAAGTAGTTACAACACAGAGGAGCTAGAAAGTACAAATGAGTTTTATTTTATAATATCAACACTGACGAATATATAAAATCAGGAGCCAGCAGGTTCTCCAGACTTCTTAAAAGATCCAGTTCCTCATGAACATGCAAGGGCAAGGAACAGAGACTGGCTATAATTAAATCATGATCCAATAATAGGAACTAAGGACAATCTTGGTAGATGTTGTCTAGAAGTGTAGTTTTCGTTTTAGTCTATTTAGATTTCAGGGGAGCTTTTCATTATTTAAGCCATCTCAAGTGGCAGATGAACAAAATTGGAATGGATATTGGGATTCATATTTATCCAAAAAGAAAGAAGGCAGAGGCGAGGCTCAGACAGGAGGATCACAAGTTCAAGGCCAGCCTGGCACTTAGTGAGACTGTCTCAAAATAAAAAAGGGGCTGGATGTATTGCTCATTGGTGGAGCTCCTGCCTAGCATGTATGAGACCCCTGAGTTCAATCCACAGAAGGCACACAAGTATTTTTATTTACTTGGTTTTTTTTTCAGACAAGGTGTTGCTAAGTAGTTAAGGCTGGTCTTGACCTTGCTAAGTAGCCAAGGTTAGCCCCAAACGCTTTTTCTTTAGTATATGTGCTGCTGACATGAGCACAAGCCCCAAATTTTTGATCCTCCTACCTTAGCCTCCTAAGTAGTATTACAGTTGTGTGCAACTATGCCCAGCTTACATGAGTATTTTTCTACCTTAACAGGAAACACACAGGTTACCAAAAATAGTTTCATTATCACCAAATTACCTTTACTAGGTATGGTGGGACTTGGGAGGCTGAGATAGGAGGTGTGCCAAAAATTTAAGGCCAGCCTGAGCTACATAGTAAGTTGAGGGTCAGCCTCAACTACATAGTGAGACACTGTCCCCAAAAAAAAACAAAAAACAAAAAAAAACCAAAACTTTATTCTTCGTCAAGGAATGATTTAAGTTTGTGCTGCTGAGTTTATGCAGGCAAATAATGGTCAGTCTTACCTCAAGAACAGCAGACAGAACTTGAGCCTGCCAAAAAGGATTCATTTTTAATATATTCCCCAGTATACCCAGCCCTCCATATCTGTGAGTTCTGCATCTGCAGATTCATCCAACCAAAGACTGAAAATAAATGAAACGAAACATTGCATCTGTGCCAAACATGCACATTTTTGTCATTATTCCCTAATAATACAGTATAACAACTTTACATTGCATTTACATTGTATTAGGTATTACAAGTAATCTAGATGTGACTTAAAGTACACAGGGAGATGTTTCTAGATCATATGTAAATAATATGCTGTCTTATATGAGGGACTGAGCATCTGCAGATTTTGGTATCCGGTATCCTTGAAGAGGGCAGTATCCTGGAACCAATCTCCTGTGGCTACAAGGGAGAAATGTATTCTTTATTTATAAAGCCAGTATATTAATACAAACGGGATCCTTCCTTCCTAAGAAATGAAATCCTAAGACTATCTCAATTCACTGACTGGAAAGGGTTTCTGTATGGGTATAGCATATGGGAATTTTGACTTGAAAATATTGAGTTCAGAGACCTGGGATGCCAAGGCCACTAAGATTTAAGAGCAAAATAATAAAACAATAGCTGCTCATAAAAAGAACTCAGAAAATCTAGAGAGGGTCCCCTTAAGACTTGCTGAGGGGTTGAGGATTTCGTCAGTGGTCCCGCCACCTGCCTTGCAATCACAAGACCAAGGTCAATCCCCATACCACCCCCCAAAAAAGACTTGCTGAGTTCTAATCTGCATGCATGAGGAAACTCTCCAAAGCCAGGAAAAGAATCACCAAATAGGAGTATACAGAATATAATAACTAGTTCACATTCCTACCAGTCAAATTAAAAAGACTGACCCTCCACACAGGACATCAAGCAGTCAACTCAGAAAAATATTGCCTTAGCAGTAGGCCACATTAGCATTAGACTGAAGGCTGACCTGAACCTGCTTAACAGTGTAAAAAAGCAAACCCTGAAACAAGGAGCAAACCCAACCCCAAGTAACTTTTTTTTTTTTTATTTTTATTTTTTTTTATTTTAAGATAGGGTCCTGCTATGTAGTTCAGACTGGCCTTGAACTTTGATGTAGCCTTAAACTCAAGGCATTCATCTTGCCTCAGCCTCCCAAATGCTGGGATTACAGGTGCACCACCATACCCAGCTTAACCCCAAGTAACTAATGCATCCCACAATGAAGTCCAAAGATATTTTTTAAAATAAAACAAAATTCAGTGAAACAACAATATAAAATTCATGATGTCCAAAATCCAACAAAAATTTACTAGGTATACAGGAAATATGGCCAATAACAAGGAGAAAAATCAGTCAACAGAATCGAAATTAGAAATGATACATGATAAAACTAGCAAAATAATATTAAAATAACTACTAAAAACATTCTAGGGCCAGGAATTTAGCTCAGTGGTACTGCCACCTGCCTTGCAAGCAAAAGGTTGTGAGTTCAATCCCCGGTACAAAAAAAAAAAAAAAAAATCATTCCATATGTTCAAAAAGGTAAAGGAAAACCTGAACATGAGAGAGATAAGTGGAAAGTATAAAACATGAGTTATGAGATAGTTTAGCTATTTAGCCCCAGTCAGAAGCATAGGAATACTGCATATATTGTCCCTGTAAGGTAAAGAAGGCATAGCATCCATTTAAGAACATATTACTAGGAAATTATAATAATCTATATTAATGGGGTTTTCTAAGTAAAACTATAAATTGACTTCAAGTATTTGGGAAGATTATCATGTATTGTGTGAAACCACAGTCACTGTATTAGACTAAATTTTTTTCTTTAAGAAATCATCTCTTGGGCTGGTGATTTAGCTCAGCGGTACCATGTCTACCTTGAAAGCACAAAGCTCTGAGTTTGATCCCTGGTACTGGGAAAAAAAAAAAAAAGAAATCATCTCATCTCTTGCCAGGGTATAGTGTGGCATGTCTGTAATCCTAGCACTTGGGAGGCTGAGGCTGCAAGTGCTAGGCCAGCTTGGGCTACACAGTGAGTTCAAGACCAACCTGCATTACATAGTGCGACCCTGTCACAAAAAAAAAGAAAAAAAAAGAAATCATCTCTTGCTAGGCATGTGGCACACTTCTAATCCCAATACTCGGGAAGCTGAGGCAAGAGAGGATTGATGTGACTTTTAGGTCAGCCTGGCCTATACATAGTAAGTTTAAGACCAGCCTGAATTACATATTGAGTTCATGTCTCAAAAACAAAAAGAGGGCTGGGAATTTAGCGCAGTGGCACTGTGCCTGCCTCACAGGTACAAGGTTGTGAGTTCTATACTGGTACCAAAAAGCAAAACAAAACAAAAAACAAAAAGAAATAAATCATCTCTTGGGCTGGGTAAATCTCAACACTTGGGAGGCTGAGGGGAGAGGATCATTGTGAATTCTAGACCAGCTTGGGCCAGCCTTAACTACATAGCAAGAGCCTGTCACACACAAAAAATGTTATCATCTCAGATTCCGGACCTTGTTTTCTTTTTGGGAACTTGTTCTTTCATGAAACTTATCCAAATGTGAGCTGTGATATAAATACGTGGTGAATGTTTAAATTACAGTAACAGATCAATTGCTATTAATCCCCCTTAAAATACTCTGCTCTCCTTGAACACACTTAACACTCTTGCCACTTTCTGAAACTGTTCCTCAAGTCTTACTTCTTAAGTGCCTTTAGGTGTGCTGTCATGGCTGCTTCAATGTTCTGAATCAATTCAAAACATTTACCTTTCACGGTCATTTTGATTTGGAGGAAGAGCCAGAAGTTACAGTGCCAGATCTGGTGAATAAGGGGGATGAGGATGCACAACAGGGTTTTTACAAGCCTCCCTTTCTGTTGGATTACACTCAGCAGAATCAGTCATCATAATTTTATCACAACTCATAAAGACACAAAAGAGGACTTCCAGAATTACTTCAGAAAGTGGCAAGAACTATGGGTTAAGTGTGTTTGAAGTGAGTGGACGGTATTTTTGAGAGGAATTAGTGGCAATCTATCTTTACTGTAATTTTTTCTTTGTTTTGTTTTTTGAGACTGGTTTCACTATGTAGCTCAGGCTGGCCTTGAACTTAACAGTGATCCTCCTCCCTCAGCCTCCCTAGTGTTGGAATTACAGGTGTACACCACCAGGCCTGGCCACTGTAATGCCAAGTTTTAAAATGTAAACATTATTGTATATTTTGATCATCTCTTGTAAATTGCTCAGGAATAGGTCCTGCCTCACTATAACAACATGTGGATGAGGCATTAAATCCTCATCCTAGAAAGAATGAAAGTTCAAAAATGTAAGAAAAACTGCCTTACCCATTAAGGTCACATTGTTAGAACACTCCTGTGTGGCCTCTCTGGTAAGGGACTTCTGGGCAGGGTCCACACTTACACATTCCTCTTGAGAAAAATATATAGCCAGATCATCAAATAGTATTGGTTCCTGAAACAACATGAAAAGCCATCTTAGTTCAAGAGGCTAATGGGTCAATCCTTCACTCAGTCTGGGAAGGCTGGTAAGAGCTAAAAACGTTACACACAAGGGAGCAAAGGACTCAGGGAAAAGGTTCCTTAGTGTTGACACAGGGTATAAACAAGTTCTAGGGGTGGGTTCAGGAAGGAGAGAGTAAATATGAACATACATTTTGAGGCAGTGGTATAAGGATTAAGACAGTACACTGTGAGAATGACATCTTTTCTGGAAAGAAATTCTTAATTAACCATTAAGTAAAGATGCTCTATGAGAGAGCAGGAAAAATCACGAGAGAATGAAGTTTCAGGGTTCTCCCACCATCTCTCCTCTGCCTTTCTCGCTCTTCTTCCCCATGATATTCACTGCTTAGCATCCAGTCTATTCCTCCTTCCCTAAGTTTACTTTTTTCTTTTTCTTTTTTTGTTCCAGGGATAGAACTCGGATCCTTGTGCTTGCGAGGCAGGTGGTGGAACCACTGAGCTAAATCCCCCTCTCCCTAAGTTTACTCTTAACTGGGCTGTGGTATAATTAAGAATCACCCATGGGCTGGGAATTTAGCTCAGCGGTTCAGTGTCCTGAGTTCAATCCCCGAGTTCAATCCCCGAGTTCAATCCCCGGTACCAAAAAAAAAAAAAAAAAAGAATCACCGAGAGGCCAAGGATTTAGCTCAGTGGCACCGTGCCTGCATCACAAGTGCAAGGTTCTGAGTTCGATCGCTGGAACCAAAAAACAAAACAAAACAAAACAACAACAAAAAAAAACACCCTGGGCTTTATTATCATTATCATCATTATTATTCAACAGGTATGAAGACTAGAAATGTGCAATTTTGAAAAGAATTCCAGGAAGACACTTTACGAAACTGTTACAGACCCCTCCCAAAGACAGTGGCGCTCAGCTGTGGGAAGGAAGACTCTCCGTGAACCACTTCGCTGCACAGGCACCTCTGGCAGGCGGACTAACGGGCACCAGGCCACGCCCATCGCCACAGCTGGGTCTCATTCTCCTCCGCAGTTGTCAGGCTGAGGTCGGAAAACAGCGACAGAATGTAGAGCGGGAAAAGGCGTCTCGTCTCACCTGGGCGTCGGATGTCGGCAGCGTGGACTCCATCTCGGGTGCGGGAGACACCTTCTTCATGTCGCCATAGGCGTGTCCGGACGAAGCTGCCAAGGGAAAGAAAAGACCTCGGTGTACCCCGAACCTCCCTCACTGCCCTCAAGCCCCTCTGAATACCTGAGCCGAATGCTTCTCTCCCCAGCCCAGCCCCGAAGGGTGTGCACTTAGGGCTGCAGAAGAGTAATGAGAGCCCCGCCCTACCCGGGCAGGAGCAACAGGGAATGACGGCCAGCAGAGAAGCGATAACGGACGCCCGGGCCACCGCAAAACTCCCACGCTCTCATGCTCCCCCACGCACTGGCTGCGGGAAGCCGCCGGAAGCTCTGGCCCAGCCGCCTCTGCCTTCCTGCACTTTGATTGGTCGGCGTGTGCCCGGGGGGCTGGTCCTCTGAATGGACCAATCCAGCCGCTCAACCTAGGACCGGTACCTCACCGGCGGCTGCGAGAAGGACGTCCTCGTGCGTGTCTACCAGCAAGTGTTTCCGGCTCTGCCCATGCAGTCTCGACGGTGAGATCAGGCCAGTTACCTGCTCAAAGTGCAGCGTTAGGGTGACCCCAGGAGGACGTGATGTTTCTGAGAAGGAATGCATGAAGACAAACTCTGGAACTCAAAAGAGCTTTGGTAACGAATTGTGGGGTTATACAGCAGGGCCTGGCGGGCCTCAAGCGTGTCTCTAGGGTTAGGTGAATGAGATGCCGGGTCGGGATGCTGGGCCAGGCCTCGGTCTGAGCGGTCGTTAGGTCTGGAGCAGATTGTGGGGTGGGAAGTAAAGGGGTGTCTTCTGCGTCCATAAGGTTCCATTGCAGGGGGGTCTGGTTTCCAACCCAGAACACTCTAGGATGTGGTGTGTGTGCCCACCACTGTAGCCTGAACCGAGAACCGCGGCAGACCTCATGCAGGTGTAGAGCCACTGGTTTGCTTCGTAAGACGTTGGTCCACATTTGCCCTTCTATAATGACAGACATTCCCTATGTTACAGACATTGGGTTTTGTGGTGTAAAGGTTGGGAATTAGAAAACTGCCCCAAATTGTTTAGGTGATCAGGGCCAGTTTTTAACTCCTGTTGGAATGGGATCAGAATGCCTCTCCTTCATAATTTAAACAGCCATTTCAAAGGTTGTTAGATAATGTTAAGTGATGGGGATTTAGCTCAGTGATGCCGCCACCTGCCTCACAAGTGCAAGGTCCCGAGTTCGATACCCGGTACCAAAAAAAAAAAAAAAAAGATAATGTTAAGTGAAAGGAATTTTCAGTTTATGACAGTGTAGGGGAAGGGGAGAAAAGACAGACAATAGATACTGTGAAATTTCTGAGTAAATTTCAGTGTATTAGTTTACTGCAAGGTTAATTGGGGAATGGTTCTATGGATAGTAAACCAATATTATTAGGGCTGGGATTTAGCTCAGTGGCGCCACTCCTGCCTTGCAAGAAGAGCAAGGTTCTGAGTTCACTCCCCGGTACTCAGAACAAAACAATATTTTGAGAATTGAACAGTAGTGGGATTTGGTGAAATAACAGATAGGATAGTTTCAGCTATAACAAAACCCAACAAAATGATGCGCAAAGATTTGGTTGATTCATTGGTTGATTCAGTGGCTCCTCAGTGACATCATCAACACCCCAGTGCTTTTTTGTTTCTTCTCCCTTAGCCTTAGCAGTTTGGTGAAAATTACAATGGCATCGATATACATGCAGACATGTATTGTGTCGTGTACTCATCCTAAACCAGTCATCAAAACAGAAGACTATGGTAATAGGGATAAGCCCATCATGCTTCGTGCCCTGGCACTGAAGAAAGGACCTAGCCTTCCCTGACCATAATTTGTGCAGAAATCAAAGCTCTGTCGGAAATGAAAAAATAAAAAAGGAAGCAGAAAAAGTCAGATAACAGTGTTACAGGTAGTATCTGTTAACAGCTAAGCAGTAGTCATTGTGGAAATGGGTTATAAAAGAGGTACTTGAGGGTCCCCAATGAAGGAGAGTGGTTCTTCAAGGACAGAAAAAGAATAAGAACAATTTGAAACATAAATATTCAAGAAGAACTAAAAACCTGCTATATTGAGGCCTAGGTAAACAGATTATCTGTCTCTCAGCTTCCATGAGAGGCTGAGCAATTTTAAAAACTGATATTCATTGATCTCGTCTCTTGAGAAAATGTTGGCTGCACCTTATGTGGGCAAAATTTTGGGCAAATTTTACTTTCACCAAAAACAAGAGGCTCTCATGCTTTCAAAGGTAGGGTCACCTAGCTGAATAAGTGACTTTTCATGAGAAAGAGGTCCTGAACTCTAAAATGTACCCATAACATGTTAATGCCATTATCAGAAAGGGGCTTTGCTATGTGTCAACTCTAGCCAAATTGGTTTTCATTTGCTGAGACCAGAGATGCTTTTAGTGAAGAATTGTAGGTCATCTGGTACCAATTCTTACATAGTGAGATTCTTGGAGGGTAATGAGATCTATGGAGAATGCAGGTTAGACAATGAGAGCAGAAAAGAAACAATGGATTGGATAATAAAATAAATAACACAATTGTTTCCCCAGAGGATCCATCAGATTAAGACTTCTGAGATCAGGGGTTTAATTGTCTGAGACTTACTGGCTTAGAAGTTACAGAGCTAGGATGGCCATTCCCTTGCTTCTTTCTGCCCTGCAGCATACAGAAAAGCTGAACCTTGAATAATGAGGCGTGGAGCTAGCCTGACTAGGGAGGAGTTCCAGGGAGGGAGTCAGTCCTCTGCCTGCTGGAAACCACGCCCTAATAGAGTAAATTTACTTAAGTGAAAGCCATTTTTGACCTGTCAATCATTTAAAGAATTTTTTTAAAAAATTACAGTACTGAGTGATAAGAGTTTAGTAAAGCAAAGGCTTTCATTTACTTGGTAGGAGGGTAAATGATTATATTCTTTTGTTAAGAAAAACTGGAATATTAATATTCTAGTTGCTCTGTAAGCAAATAAACATCTGGTTTAAGCATCAGTCCCTGGTGAGTGATTTGTAACCCCAGTCTCAGGATACATTGACAACATTAATAGAGAAACAGACCCTCTACTGTACTGCCCTGATAGGGGATGTGGTGGCCATACCACATAGAATGCACCTGATCTCATCAGATCTTGGAAGCTAAGCATGGTCAGGCCTGGTTAGTACTTGGATGGGAAGCCTGGTAGGGACTATGTGGCCACAAGGTCATCCTCTTCCACCTCTGCTGTGTTTCTTATTGGAGGAAGTGGTTTCATCTTTGGTGATCCAGTTTATACCTTTGCATCATTTCACACCGGAAGAGAATTTCTTTGGATGCAAAATATTTGGTTCCTGGTTTGGGTCCATGCAGATACCAAGGAAACATCTTAGAACCATGAGTCTGGATAATTTATTCCAACTCATGCCAGTCTTCCCCCTACCTCCCAGTACTGGGTATTGAACTCAGGCGGGCTAACCACCACTGAGCTAAATCCCTGGCCCTACTCATGCCAGTCTTGTGAAACCTTTCTGCTCCCCAGGGCAGTCCAAAATCCACTCCGGCAGGGTGGATGCTTGTCAACAAGCTGACCATCCACCGGGTTTGCCATGAAGTAGCTTTTTCATGATTTGATTTCAGGACCCTGAAAAAGATGCTTTCAGAGGTCTCCCTGCAAAGACTGCTTTTGAAAACTCATGGCTTTCTTCCTAGGTACGTCAGGAAAATCATGATCCAAGCAAAGGACTTAGCTTTTAATGATGAACCAGTTTGTTTTGATGATCAATCGGTTTTAAAATTTTTGTTGTTTTTTGGCTTTCATCTTTTATGATGGGCTCACAGGGCTGCCACTGGGGAGAGGAGCTTCATTTTACTTGCACTAAAGGCCTTGGGTGCTCATTATATTGTAAAATGGGGACAGCTATACCTAACTTTCAGGATCATAGAGAAAGTAAAACACTGAAAGGATTATCACATGGTGTTTAGCACAAAGTAGGCACTTTACCAAATATGCATCCACCCACATTCATTCTAGAAGCACCATTATTGTTTGCATGACAAATGCCTCTGTTGAAATCCTTATCAAACCATCTTGTAATCACAAATGTCCATGGCAGTTTGTGTCCTTGTCACTAATTGTACCCACACGCACAGTGCCTAGCCTCTTTAGATGAGAACAGAAGGAAAGAAAAGAGTTCAGTTTTAAAGCTTGACCCTTATCTCCCTCACACTTGCTTTTTATTTATAAAAATACAGTGCTTGTCCATGTAAATGATATCTCCGGAAAGATACCTTGAAAATGGAAACATCTAGTATTCAGAGTCAGGGAGGGAAACATTTCTCTTATTGTTTGTTTGAGACAGGATCTCACTATGTAGTTCAGGCTTGGTTTAAATTCACTTTGTAGCTCAGAGTGACCTCATACTCACGGCAGTCCTCCTGCCTCAGCCTCCTGAGTTCTGGGATTACAGGTGTGTGCCATCACAACTGACTGGTATGCTTTAATTTACCACAGACATGCATTACTTCTAAAAAATGTCAGAAAAATCTCCCAAGTTAACCCAAAAACAAAATACCTTGTTGTGCACACTTTTTAAAAAAAGCGTTATATAAAGATGAAATACAAATATTTCGTGAAAATTTAGAAAATGACCAAACATAATAAGTGCATGTGAAAACAATAATCTTTTTCACTTGGATTACAGAGAGGTAAAGGATTATACCCCATTTTGGTGAAGGTGTGGCTCATTTACCCTGGCTGCAGCTGGTATAAAGTCCTTGCACTTTTAGCATGAAAACACAATGGTAAAATCTGGCAAACAACCTGGATTTTTTTTTCCCCTAAAGTTAAAATTTGGTTAATTAAAAATAAATTTAACCAACATTCTAGGAATTTTTCCTGAGGAAATACAGATGGTCCCCCAACTTGCCATGGTTTCTCTTAAGATGTTTTTGGCTTTACAATGATGCAGAAGCAATACACACTCAGTAGAAACCATATTTTGATCTTTTTCCAGGCTAGCAGTATTAAGTAGAATACTCTTGAGATGTTAAGCAGCAGCATCCTGTAGTAAACTGCAGCTCCCAATAAACCACATGTGCAGGAGGATAAATAGTTGATATTTACAGTGTATTACACTGCCAGCATTTTTTGGATACAGGTATGCGAAAAATGAGTTATGTGAGATAGTAGGCAATACTCTATTATAACTAACACAGGCTTTATGTTAGGCAATTTTACCAAACTATAAGCTAACATAAGAGTTTTGAGCTGTAGGTTAGGCTAAATTATGTCATTGTTAGGGTAAACCGAGGCATAACCAAGGCCACAAGAGCAGGCAAAAACGAAGCAACAAGCGAGGTTTTATATCCAGTCTGGGTGCAGGCCAGTCAAGGGCAATGAAGTTGTTGACCCTGGGAGCTTGGGTAAGGGGAAACTTTATAGGGGAATTGGGGTAGAGGAATGGGAAATTTTTGTCCTGGAGTGGAGGAAGTCCGGTGGTCTCCAAGGGTATCTGGACCCACAGATGTTGCTGTGTGAGGCAGGCTGTTTATCTCTAACCTGGGCCTTGGATTCCTGTTATCCTTTGCGCCTTAGAAGATCTATAACTATGTTGCCTGGGAAATTTTTCTCTTCTGCTTGGGCAGGGGACTGATAAAT